GTCTATTGCTTTTAATATTGGGGAAGAAATTCAAATATGCTTTCTAATGACATAATACAGTCAAATGCCGAAAATCCGCCAACTCCTGAAATCCATTCTACCTATAAAATGTAAGCATTCAGTTTTTATAGGTTCAGGGATCCACAACTTGGAGAGCAAAATACCGAAGAAAAGAGAAATAACTTACCAAATAATGATATCGTAATAGAAATACTTACCAAGTCATTCACATCATGATAAAAGTTCCCCTCCCACTCCAATCTGCGTTGTGGTAAAGAAGCATGCAATTTAACCAAACTGTTTTAAATTCATTACTCATGTGATTGTATTTCCTGAGCTTTGTTATTTTATGAGATTGTTTCGTACTGCCATTTTTTTTTAATCCAGATTTTTTTTTGTAGGTAAAATTTAAAAAAAAAAATAATTAATTCCAGCACATCTTAATAAAGAGATAAAAAATTTGTTTGCGATTTTACTGCTTGTAACATTGAAAAATGTAAAGAGGTGGAAATGACAGCAATTAAAAAAAGCTGAAATCTGGAAAAGATGGAGGAAGGTATTATTTTTCAGTTTATAGCAGGATCATAGGAACTACAATATGGACCATATATGATCTATAGAAAAGTTGTTAAAATCTTACAGCAACAGTGATTCTAACACTGGAATCCAAAACTGGGAATATTCGCATAAGGTGAAATCAGCAAGTCTCGATTCTATTTTGTACAAGTGGTTCCAACAGCAGAGTGATGAAGTACCAATTTCAGGGCCGCTTCTGAGAGAAAATAGAAAAAAAATTCATGCCGATTTAAAAATAGAGATGTGCAATTTTAGCTGCAGTTGGCGGAGCATATTCAAGTAGTGACATGGTAATCCATTATTCAAATTGTGTGTGGGGGGGACTTTCAGCAGAAACAGATGCTGCAGAGGAATTTATTGATGAATCTTCGGTACTGGTGGCGGAAGAAAATCTCAGCTCAGAGCCAATTTTTAATGTGGATGAGCCTGAATTTTCTTGGCTATGTTTACCAAGAAGGATATTTGTGACAAGCAAAGAAAGTGCACCATCAGGGGTGAAAGAAGCTAAAGAAAAAAATACTATTTTAGTATGCAATGCATCTAACTCTTATAAATGTAAACCAATGGTAGTGGGTAAAATCCCAGAGCTCTGAAAGGAATAAAATACTGTGATTTATGGGAATAATAAAATTCCTGTTTCACGAAATGACTTGTGATAAAATGGTTCATGCAACATTTTATTAAAGAGACTATAAGGCATTGTAATAGTGTATCATTACCATCAAATAGCAAGATTTTACTACTGTTGTAGAGTCATTAGGATTAATTAGAAGCAGAAAAGATGAAAAATAGCAAACGCCTTCACTGGGAATCGAACCACAGACCTCTGGAATACCTGCCCAGTGTGCTACCGTTACACCACGAAGGCACGCTAGGAAAGTTGGAGAACTACCTTATATACTCCCTTTTTAAAGGGCGACTAGGGTTTTAGGGGACCTAGTTGCCAAATCCTGGGTGCGGAGAATCATCATCCACAACCCTTTTAGTTCGGCGCCACTTGTAGAGTCATTAGGTTAATTGGAAGCAAGCAAGATGAAAAATTACCAGCCGCCTTCACCGGGAATCGAACCACGGACTTCTGGAATACTGGTCCAGCGTGCTACTGTTACACCACAAAGGCATGCTAGGGAAGCGGGAGAAATACCTTATATACTCCCCTTTTTAAAGGGCGACTAGGGTTTTAGGGGACCTAGTCGCCAAATCCTGGGTGCGGAGAATCATCATCCACAACCCTTTTTTAGTTCGGGCGCCACTTGTAGAGTCATTAGGATTAATTGGAAGCAGAGAAGATGAAAAATAGCAAACAGTTTTGCCGGGAATCGAACCACGAACCTCTATAATACCGGCCGAGCGTACTACCGTTACACCACAAAGGCATGCTGGGAAGTGGGAGAAATACCTTATACTGTTAGACAAGTGCTGTGCACATCCAGATGTAACCATTTTAACATATGATAATGTCATTGTTCTTTTTTGCCTTAATATACCACATCATTGATCCAACCAATGGACTAGGATATATAATACACTGTATGAAATGCCATTATAAATCAGAGTTTCTGAAAAAAATTCTTTTGAGAGGCCACTCTATTTCGATAATAAAACAAATTTCAAATTTGGTCTTCACATGCCCATATTCATAGGAGGATTATGTCATTCAAAATTCGATGGCTCTATGTACCGTTGTTTTATCACAGTGCAAAAAATATACATACATTTATGCAGATTTTTCATTATTAAATTTCTTCAAATATAATGCCACTTGTACAAAATAGAATCGAGATTTGCTGATTTCACCTTATGCAAATATTCCCAGTTTTGGATTCCGGTGTTAGAATCACTGTTGCTGTAAAATTTTAACAGCTTTTCATTTGGTGGCAACAGTTTGAAAAGTGAAACGGACATTTATAGTGATTCAACGTAAAACGAAAACAGTAGTCCTTCAGAGACAAAGTCTCTTTGGACTAAAAATTGCCATCAAAAACTGCATCTATTTATTAGCAGAATCACGGAATTCTGTTTCCCAAACAGCAGTAGTGAATGTCTAACATAGATATAATTACTGAATGGCTGGCATAATGTATGGTCATCTTCTGTTTATTGAAACTGAGTGCAATGACAGCGAATTTTCTGATTTTAGGGTCAGTGTAGCAAAGGTTAAAGAAAGCGAATTGCTTCTGTATTAAAAAAAAAGAACAAATGAGGAGGCTTTGCAAGAATAAGATTTTATTGAATGGATGAGGTGTCCAGATCAGCCAATACTCACATATCAGATGACCAATGATAAAATTATTAACTCTGTTTTGAAGTCAAAGTAGCAATATAACGATTCTAACACTGGCATAGATAGTGAAATTGATAGGAATGAGAAAATACCTTTTAATGGAGGTTTGGAATGTGGTGAAAAATACCTAAAATTTTTAGAACGGTAGAATTGTGTAATAGACCAAGAGATTACGACTCTATATAATTTACAAGAAAACTTACTCTAGAACACTGTAAAGTTTTAAAACAAACTTCTATCAAGAAAAAGCTTAAATGATGCCAAAAAATTTCTTTAAAAAAATTTTTATCCATTATTAATGTCCCATGTCTTGGTCTGTATGCCCTTAATGTCCTTATTTATTTTGTACACTCACTTCCAAAACTTAAGCTCGTAAAATGCAAAAAAATTAACAAATGCTGCTTTGATTGACACAAAATTTGGCAGGAAAGTAGCATCTATATTTATGCATAAAATAAAATCAATAATTATATACAGAAATAACAATATTAAATTTTTGTAAGTTATCATATAATGGCATACTGGAGACTTAAACAGAATTATGTATAAAGTGAAAATAAACAGCATAAAATGAAAGAAAAAAGGACATTAATAGCATATGTGATCCCTCCTCATCTGTATATAAAGTTTACATCTTGTGACCATGCTTTCAATTAGGTGGTCAACCACTGCAGAATTAAGCAATCACCATTCTTCTTGTAGAGCAGTTTCCAGCCCAATAAGAGTGGCTGGAGGTGGGAAAAGTGAAGATACAGCATGGCCGAGAGCATCACAAAGATTTTCAATGGGATTAAGTTCGGCCAAATATGCTGGCCACGCCATACGTGCAATCCCTTCACTCTCCAGGTTGTCATCAACGATGTCAACTCTATGGGGACATGCGTTATAGTCCATTAAAACAATAGTAGGGCCAACTGCTGCAGCTTACAATCTCATGGGTTCTAGAACTTCATCTCGATACCGAACAGCCGTCAAGGAACCCCATTTAAAGATTTGCAGGTCGGTGCGGTATCCTAATGAAATCCCTGCTCACACCACACTGCTTCCACCTCGTAATGCGTGATGTTTTGGCACTGAACTGTGTGTTCGTTGTTCACGCCATATCCTTGTACGCTTGTCATCTGGCTCCAGAGCAAATCTTGACTCATCAATAAACATGATATTGTCCCAGTCAGACATCTTCCCGTCACCACTGTAGTCGTGCTGTTCTTGATTGGACAGATAGAGGAACACAAACTTGAGGTACCCAGGCGTACAGTCCACTCATATGCAATCTTCGACGTACAGTAGCTGCAGATATCGCCTTACCAATGGACGCTGTAATCATAGATGTCACACGTGTGGAGGTCGCTCTACGATTCCACTTGGCTACAATAGCAATATATCGATCTTCAATAGCAATATATCGAGTAGCAATCCTTGGGCGACTGGCTATGGGCCTTCAGATAATTGTCTGTGTGGTTTGGAATTATTTCCATAAACGTGAAATTACAGAATGATGAACGCCGAAGAAAAGAGCAACATCTGTGATCGACTGTCCTGCTTCAACGCGCTCCACAGCATGCCAGCGCTCAGAATCTTCCATTCGTCTTCTAGAAGTCATAGAAACATGTATGTCTTGAAAATAAATTGTACGAAAGTTTTAAAAACCTTCTAATCAACACTTACAATCAACTTCTGTAACACTTCATAAAGCTTGCTTCTTATAAGACTGCCTTTTTTGCATATTTCATGACAAGAAATCACGATTGGCTATTACCTAACGTATTTTCATACTTCCATCTACCTGTGCAGCGAATTGCATCCTCTTCAATTCCGCTTCCAGAAATCAGCATTGTCCTCTCTGTGCTTAACTTTTGGAAGTGAGTGTATTTTTAGTCTAAATATTACTATTTATCTTTTCTGTCCTGAAATCTGTGCAACCTCTTGATCCCAAGCATTGTGGATTTCTGATCTACTGTATTAGCATTTTCAGAGAAGCACATGCAATATAGAATATAAATATATATTTATTAAAAGATAAAATGTGAAAATTCCATTATGCTGTTCTGTATCAGATTATTATTAATTTGTAGATGATTAATTAATCGGTTTTTTGTCTTGTAAGCTGAATGCAGTATTGAATGCTTTTCTTGTTTAGTTATTCTGGGAAAAAAGATTACAAGGACTTAAGGCATCAGACATGGATGAAGAAGCATTCAATAACTTTGAACTTCCTCGAAATATGAAAGGTATGACATGTACTTCTTTCTTGTATGTTTTTGTGATTGTATGATTTTTAGATAGTTGTTCAACAGTTCGTTAATATTGCCGTTGGTTAAGCGTAAAATATTGCTGTTATGGTATGTGTGTGTATATATGTCATAGTAAAAGTTATTTACTGTTTATATAATGTTGATATAATTCTTCAAGCAGCAGATTTAATATTTATTATGCAGTACAAAGTCTGTAATCGGGATTTCGCCAATTCCAGATTTAGGGTTTTTCCAGATTATAGATCATCACTTTAAATCTAGTAAGATGGCATGCAGAAATTATAAAATTAAAAATATGAAACTGTAATTTATGAAATAAGGAGCAATTATGATCTAAAGGGTATAAAATTTTACAAAAAAAAGCTTAATATTTATTTGTTTACTTTATTAAACATTTCTTTCAACGTGTGCATGCGTAAAGCATACATTACGTGCATGTGATTAATTTGAATTTCACTTGACTAAAAAACAGGGGGGTCTATGCTTTTGGCCAAGAAGGCACCTGAAAAATTAAGCCTTGAATATACTTTAATTGGTAAATGCTGCTGACTGTAGTTGCTCACGGGAAGTCACAGCTTAGTAAAAACATCGCCGCTAGACCTGAAAAACACTTGTATTAATGATGCCGCCTTCAGCAGTTGCTCACTGGAAACCACAACTTGAGATTTGACGGCGCTTAACCATGGAACAGGATGCCGCCCACGGCAGTTGCTCCCGGAAACCACAATTTGAAATTTGACGTCGCTTAACCTTGGAAACAGGATGCCATCCACGACAGTTGATCACCAGGAACCACAACTTGAGATTTGACGTCGCTTAACCTTGGAAAAGCCAACATGGCCCGGAACCACGGTACTTATCGCTGGATGACACGCATCACAATAACGTCTTCCAATGATCGCTAGAACAGCGCACCAGGTGCAATGAAAACAGGAACAAGAAGGGCTACGCCAGAGCGATGTGAGATATTTATACATGAAGTAGGCATGGCGTCATCACAGTAGCCAATCAGCTGTCGGCACGACTCAGCTTTCCAGATGACGTAACTTCGAGTTTTGTTTTTGCATCTTAATTAGGCCGGAAAAGTCCATTCATAATACAAACAGTGGCAGTGGGAAAAGAAGTAGAAGTAATTGCTGTATCCCTTTAAAAGAAAAGAAAAACTAAACCTCGTGTAAAAATTAGAATTATTTCAAGGAGGAGAGACGATGCAGAAAAAGGGTTACATATTGCAAGTCATATTTTCAACACCAGATAATGGACGTCCGGATAAGGGATTTTGTACTGTATATACAAATTACAGCTTAAATACTGAAATACTAATTGCATGAGATATCAATACAAGTTATATTTTATGAGCATGTTATTACAATTACAGTGGATAATAATGCTGCAAAGAAATGTAAGTTGACAAAATGATAATAATTCTTGGTTAAATTTATGGAGAGCAATAATTATAAATAAAATTATTTAAAAAATTTTACATTTAAAACTGGACAGTGCAAATTATGTGGTCGAGACATTGTTTTTCATCTGATGACAATATGTGATTTTTGTGCACAATGAGAAATAAATACCTAATTCTTTCATTTGATTTAGCAGGTGCGTTTTTTTATTTGTACTGTTTTAGACCTAGTGTAGCATGCATCTTAAGTTACCAGTTTTGGGTAGTTTATTCCTGGTTTTGTTTAGTTTTTATGGCTGTCTGTATTTTAGTATTTATGGTTTTTCATTTTAGTACATATTCAAAGTAGTCAAACTTAGCTTGACTAGTTTATCAATGTCACTGAATATGTACTGCTCCTTTAAGGCAGATTTACAAACTAATTGTAGGTAAAATAATCTCAAGGTAACAGACTTGAGATGAAGTGGAAGACAATTTTATTTTATTTTATTTTATTTATTTATTTTTATTAATTTTTTAAAGAAAAACTCTGTACTTTTCTCTTTTGCTGGCGCAGGCGTCAAAGTCTCCAATAATGGTACAACTGATGGCAAACGTAATATCCTCGCTGGTAACCTTTTACACCTTATTTTCAAAACAATTCGCAGCCCTTTTTTTTTTATCAGATTGATTGTTTCTTTCAATACTGGCATACAATTACGTAGAATTTTTACCAGATAGTTCAATTTTATGCCCTATGGCCATTCGTGGTAATTAAGTAAATTAGGATCACACCGTTCACCCGAAGGCAAAAATGTAGAAAAGGCAAAGTGAAAGGTTAAATTCATCAATTCTAGTGAAAATGCACTAGTGAAGTAAAGCACTGCAGATTTACATAATTTCTGAGTAAGTATTTAAACTTGTATTCCAAATTAAGATTCAACTTGAAATTAATGTAGATAATTACTGAGAGAGATTTTTGTAGTTTACGTGAGACTTGGGGTCACGTAATATGAAAAGGCGAATCAGGATATTGAACCATGAAAGCATAGTAAACTCTTAAATAATTATCTTTTTACAAATTTATTGTCTTTATTTATTGACTTTTTTACAATAATTTTAAACGATATTAAAATGTTTATGCCTTCAAAATAAAAAATTCTTAGAACTAACATTTGTTAACATTTTTTATTTGTATGCTGTATGTTGTGGCCAATAAAATCTGCTTGGCGAGATTTGTGCCGGCGAAACGGAAAAGTACTAAAAACTCTTATGTAATTAATTTATCATGAATATAACACACTAATAGTTTATACAGTCAAAAGTCGTTAATTCGGACACCCATAATCCGGTCCTCAAAGCTACAAACTTTCTGCGCATAGGCGTTTACGCGTGCACGTAAGACCTTTACGGCTGCAAATATGCGTGAACGCATGCGCATAATACGTTTATGCATGCGCGTTTAATGTATAACGGACGGTATAAGCTAAGCTAAAATTATCTAATTCAGTTAATGTTGCAGATTGCGTTGTTCCTTAATCTTCGAATTGGATCCGGCTTATTATTTTTTGCAAACTGTTAGAGCAATTTTATAAAAGTAAGCTTGAACTTTCGATTATGTCTGAATTTCCAATATATATTTACTAATATGTAAAGGATCTACAAAGTGAAAGTATGTTTCGAAGTCCATTAAACAAAAAGTGGAATTGCTGCAAAAAGTGGATAAAGGCATGTCCTTTGTTTCTTAACCATTCCGAAATCTGTTTATCAATTTCACGCTGCTGTGCGGCCAGGGGGGGTGGGGAAACGCCGCGGCGCGCAATGAATTGGAAGTTGATCTGTCAGCATTATCCTTATCTTCAGGGCAGATGTTTTTATTTTATTTGGCTTATAATTCCTTACTAAATGTAGTATTTCATCTCGATGTACTCCATCTTTGATATGATTTAAATCAAGTTTCTCGTCAGTATAATTCGCTTCCGATAGTGAAGAAAGTGACACAGAGGTTATTGAAAACGAAAAAATTTCGATTGACAAATTAAGTCGGTATTCTCGACACAGCAATTATAGGACTTGAACAGCGGAACTTTGTAACTAAACGAGAAATTATGTCTGTTTAATAGAATTAAAGAGAAAGTATTATCACATGAAATGAAGCAACTTAAACAACTTGCATTGAAAGAAATGTTTAATAAAGTAAACAAATATTAAGCTTTTTCTTTTTGTAAATTTTGATATCCTTTAGATCATAATTGTTCTTTATTTCATAAATTACGGTTTCATATTTTTAATTTTGTAATTTCTGCATGCCATCTTACCAGATTTAAACTGATGATCTATAATCAGGAAAAATCGATAATCCGGAATCGCCGAAGTCCCGACGAGTCCGGATTAACAACTTTTGACTGCACTTAAAATAATTATTAAACTTCCTTATTTAAAAATATAAATTAGATTAGAAAACAAAGAGATTTAATAAACATAATCTTGAAAGGGGCAGGCATTTTTGCCTATGATCACATTTTTTAAGATTTATGTCTGAAAAATTTCAATTGATTTTTTTTATATTTTAAATTGTAGAAATATATTTATAGTCATCTGTATGCATTGTGTTGCTCAAGTTAAACTTTAAACATAATTTATCTTGAATTTTCTTTCTTTTCTTCTGGGACAGCATATGTAAGCAAAATTTGAAAATGAGCCAAAATCAAAATCTTGACATAATTTTTCTGTATACCTTGCTTTACTATGTCACATAAGAGAAGAATGCATCTTCACCTGAACTCTGAGAGCCATATTGATCTTCTTCCAAAATATTTCTGCTTCCAAAGTGCCATTTGAGTCTATTAATATAAACTTGTCCAAGGCATTTACTTAAGGTTTTATGGTAGATTCCTCATACATATGATATTTTTAATACTGGGCCACTTAACTTCATTATTTTTAAGAATAGTAATAATTCTAGTTTTCTACCACATTGCCGAAAAGTAACAAGCATTAAATAATTTACTTAAGATAGATGGACAAACAGCATGGAAATGCTGAATCACTTCATTTGTGATTCTGTAAGTTCCAGATGTTGCTGAAAATGTTCTAAAGAATGTTTGTTTTCAATAACAAAACATGTAATTGTCTTAAGTTACACGAAGTATATAAATTGTTGCTAGTTTTAGAATTTATCATTATTTCTTACCAGGATTGAAAATTTTTATCTTCGGAGATGGGTAATATAAAATTGGTAATTTACGACTTTTATGTTTTTTAGCTTTGAAAATAACAAAAGAATGTAAGTTTTCTTGCATGATTGCTTAATGAAAATTAAGAATGATAAAATATAGCAATAGCTATAAATGTTAAAATTTATGACATGTCTGATTGTATGATTCTGTTCAATTGAGTTATTGTGAAAGTATTATGTATAACTATTATGCACAGGTAATCTTTTTAAAGTGATATGTGATCATAGCAATTACATTAAATAGCCACTATTATTTTGGTATAAATGTAATAGTTAGTCATCATGTCCTCTTTCAATTTGTTTTTTATAATAATCAAAATTTTAAGTATGGTTTTATCAAGAACATGTAATTATATTTGTGAATCTGTGGACCGTTTTTATAACAACATAATTTTCCTATTTGAATCAACTATTTGAATTTTCCTGTTTGAATGAAACTGTTGAACAATTCATTAAAATGTATTTTTAGGTGTTGGACCAGATCTAACTGAAGAGACATTACTTAGAAGTATAGCTACTGCTTTACATGTCAGTGGACAGCCAATAGTTGGGCAAACAAATTCAAGAGTTGTTTTAGATAAAAATCCCAGTGTATATATTAATCCTGAGCAACCCTTAGTTCAGGTAATCTTTAATATTATGTAGCATAGCATGGATTTTATTGAAATAGTAGCTAATTAAGGCTAAAAAAGTGATGGAAATTTGTATACAAGCATTAGTGAAATTAGTTTTAATAATTTGCATTTATATTGCGTTGGAAGAAAGCCTGGCTTAGGTACAGAATTTGTAATAATTGTTATGTATTATCAAAAGTTTGTCAACATTAAAAATCACAATATTAGTACATAATGTTTATTCATAAAATTGCTAACAATTAAGAATGTATGTAATTAGAATGAATAATAAACAGCTGTAGAATAATTCACTCCTAACTGCAGTTGAAATGCAAAAATTTAATCATGACTCAAAATCATTCACCAGCTGTCTAATTGCATAATCTGTATTGATTACTTTGTTTATCTCCTCTTTCTTTTTTTTTAAATCACTTCAACTGAAAACATTGAAAAGAAAATTAATGATGTTCATTCTTGTCACCTGTTTCTGATGACATTTCTCTATAACTGCTGATGAAGTGAAATAAGCTGTTTACCACATTTGATGGTTTAGCACACCTCTTCTTGAACTTTTTTCATTTATGACCCCTTTTTATCATAGAATTTTTTTTTTTTTTTTTTACAACCCCACATGTTATGAGTAAATACGTAGGCTATTCAGAAAGTAAGGAAAGTTTTTGAATTAAAAAGAAACTAAGTACAAGGGAAAAACATATTATATATACATCAGAAAAAGCGACTAAAATTCTACTTTTCTACATAGTCACCAAACAAATTGAGGCACTTATCATAGCGGTGAACAAGCTTTGAAATTCCTTCTTCATAGAATTCTGCCGTATGTGATCTCAGCCAATCAGTGACGTGCACCCACAGCTCCTTGTCGTCATCAAAGCGCTGTGTTGCTAGCCAGTTAATCATTCTTCAAAACAAGTGAAAATCACTAGCTGTAAGGACTATAGGGCAGATGAGGGAAAATCTCCCATTTGAATGAATTAAGGAGTTCTTTAGTGTGGTTTGCCATGTGAGGCTGGTCATTGTCGTGCAAAAACAAAATTTTGGACGTCAACTTTCCTCGGCACTTGTTTTGAACTGCTCTCCTAAGGTCGCACAAAATTTTACAGTACCGCTCAGAGTTTATTGTGGCACCACGTTCGAGAAAATCAATAAAAAAAAATCGCCATAATTTTCTTTGGTAACAAGGTTTGCAAACATTTTCTTGGTCTTTTGGGAGAACTTGTGTGCCCCCACTGCATGGACTGTAATTTTGTCTCACCCACGTCTTGTCACCAGTTACGATTCGATCCAGTAATGAATCACCATGTCTGTCATAGGTCTCCAGAAATGTCAAAGCTGCCCCCCGTTTGCTGACCTTTATGGTGGTCTGTAAGCAATTTCGGAACCCATCTTGCAAAAAATTTGTGGTCGCCTAGCTTTTGTGTGACAATTTCAAACAACAAAGTCTGTGAAACTTGTAGAAAAATAAGCGAAAGCTCCGTTATTGTGAAACGGCGGTTTTTGCGAATCTTTTCATCAACTTTAGCGACCAGTTCGTCGGTCACAATGCTAGGGCGTCCACTCTTCTCTTCATCATGAACGTTAGTTCAGCCATTTTTAAACTGAATGCACCATTTCCTGATTGAACTTTCATTCATTACATTGTTTCCGTACACTTCACACACTTGCCGATAAATTTCCATAAGTTTTAGGTTTTTTACCAACAAAAACCTTATCAGAGACCGCAACTCACAACTGGTGGGATTTTCAATTGCAGCGCACATTTTTAATTTGAATATCAAAAAAAAAGTGCAGCGTGTAAATGCATGTAATGCTAAAAGATAACTTGACAAACTATTAAAAACTCTTTTTCAAAGGGTTTCTTTCTTTTCCATAACAACTCCTGGCAGTAGCATTTAATGCTTCAAAGTGATTTTTAATAATCACTTCAGAAAGCTAGAACATTCATTATCTACACTGCTTGCTTTGGTTGACAACAATAAGAAAAATACTTTCAAAACTACTGTTTGTAGTTCCTATTCTGAATGTTAACAAGAGATAAGCTGTCTTCCAAATTTGCTGGCAGTTTTTTTGTGACAAAGAATTGTTTTTGATGATTTGAAACTGTTGAAGAAATTTTAAACTAGTTCTTGAATGGTTACACAATATTTTTGCAGAAAATTCTTTGATGTGTCTTTTACAAAAAGAGTTCTTTACTTCAAAAATTTTTCATATATATAAGAGAGATTTTTCTGCTTCTCTATAATACAAAACACGAAGTATATAATTCATAACAAATTTGAAGTATTGTGGTTTTAATAAATGTTTCAAGACAGTATTGAAATTGGTGTTAGGTTTGAGCAAAATTAAACGTATTGTAATGTTATATCTCCCTCTTCAACAGCAGTATTCAAGAAATATTAATAGAGTTTAAACCTGTTGTTAAAATTCATGTCAGTTTCAATATCTATATTTCAACATAATAATTTTAAGCAGAGTGTAGAGGGTGAACTTAAAATTTCTTTTCAGGCCCTTGTAGTTACTGAAGAAGATATTAAAAAGCAGGAAGAAAAGGTTCAGCTTGCTAGGAAGAAGCTGCAAGAATGTCTTAAAGAATTATGCATTTGATAAAGGTATGAAATGACATTTTCTGTATAAATTCTTGTACTTCTTTATATATATATATATTTGAATTTAATAAATATTCTCTATTCGTATAAAGCTAATATAAATTTAAAATTAAGAAATTTTAATTGCAAAAATAAAAAATAAAAGATTAATTATTGTTGCGAGCTAATTTACAATATCATTTAAATTCTAAGAGCATATGTAAATTAGCCTACAATACAGTGAATTTTTAAAGTAAAAATTCTTAACTCAATTTTTGGACAGAAACATTTTAAGAAACTGGGAATGTAAATGGTATTGCTAATTTAACTCACTAAAATTTTAAAATTTAAAATGAACTATTGTTATTTAAAAAAATACTGTCAGTTAAAATTGTTTAATAAAGTTTTTTTAAAAAAATAGTGAACAATTATTTAAAAGGAAACCAAACTATTAGAACTTGAAAATGTAGTTACATTTGAAAAAAGAAAATCAAACAAGGTAATTAGCACTAAAAGCTGTTAGATACAAACAAAATTGTTTCACGAGAATATAGTAAAATTAAACTAAATTTAAATAATTCTCTTGTGCCATTGCTGCAAGGAATGAAATTTGAATTTAACAAATATTCTCTATTCGTAAAAAGCTAATATAAATTAAAAATTAATTATGAAATTTTAATTGCAAAAATATGTATGTATGTAATATTTTACATGCATAGTCATTATGGTTGAGTAAAAAATGCAGGAAAAAGCCGTTGACAAAACCAATTTCGGCAAATCACCATCTTTATTTTTACATATTTCAAATCATCTCTTTGGCAAACAAATTACTTTTCAATCATTATCAACTACAATAAATTTTTATGTAACAGAAAAAAGATACGATGCATTTGAGGCAGAGAAGCATAACGGGGTACAATTGTTTGCATCACAGAAGTCAGGAAAAAGTGAGCGTAGTTCCTCGCGAAGCAGTAGTTATACTGTGTAGGTGCATATGTGAATCTAAGCCAATCTAAGCCGTGATTGGTTAATTTTAGTTTTAATTACCTTTTTCAAGCAGTGTTATGTAATTTGGAAAGATCTCGAATTTGGGAGAACAGATGAATTTAGGGGGGAGAACACCAAAGCTAGATTAGTTAATCTCGAGGTTGTCAATTATTTCTTAATATAGTGATAATATTTTATTGTATCTTGCATATTGTATATCTCGAATTTGGGAAAAAGGATGAATTTAGCTAGGTTGTCCGCCTTCTCGTTAGCAAACCATCTTACATGTGATTTGACTCAGTGAATTCTGATACAAAAATCTTTCTGCAGGGATTTCAAAATATCTTTAATATTTAAAACCAGGTAATTTTCTGTAATAGGAGCAGTCAGTAACATAAGGAGTGATAAACAATCAGAATAAATATCTATTTCAATTCAACACTTTAATTTTTCCTTAATCCATTTCAAGGCTTGTAGTAAAACTGATTCTGATTGTAAAATGGAATTATACATATTAAGTTTGAAACATCTACTATCAGTTTCGACTCCATAATAAAAAACACAGAAGGCTGCACCATACTTCCCATCAACTCCAGAACCGTCAGTATATACTGACAGTCAATAACACCAACAGTAGGAATTTTTTTATCAAAACAAAATGTAAAATTTTCAACTGGATGACAATAAAACTTTGAAATTTCTTCAAACATATGTTTGGTAACTAGTATAATAGACAAAGGGAAAATGCCAGATAAAACAAAAAGCTTGTCTGAAGGAACTGTTATGAAACACTGTAAATCCTGGAATCCACTATCTGGAATTGTGTGACATAAATGAAGAAGGAGAGTGAAGATGGACTGAAATTTTGATTGACGCTTAGAAATGTCATCTTTAAGGAAGTCTGTCAGTAATTCTCAACTGAATCATGATTGTAATTCTTGAATATTCTGCAGAAGAGGGAAAGACCTCAGCAGCATAAACTATAAATTATACCTTATAAAAGAAATGTTGTCTACAATTTTGCACAAGAAACAAAAAGATTAAAAAGGTAGAAAATTAAGATACTTTTCTATGTTATTGTCCCAGGCCTGATATGTGTTACTTTTTTGTAAGTTTAGCTGCAGCCAACAAGTTTGTAAGTTTAGCTGCTTCAAGGCTAAACTTATAATAGTAATAAGTAGTGTTGTGAGTAAATAATTTGACTTTCTGCTTGTTTGTTAATAAACTGGATTTAAACTGAGTGGTTCTTCTGCACAAGTTAACTATGAGTTGCTAATGAAATAGTCAATATATATATTTTGCTAAGCTCTCCAAATTTGTACAGCCTGCTTGCAATCTTGAAATGTCATGCTATTTTACATCAGTTTTAGGAATATTACTGAAGAATAAACAATAAGTTTTATGCATCAAACTTTTCTTTATGTGACTTAATGTTAAGAACTTGTGAAATGGAAAAATAAGCATTTTTATTAGAAGAGAATACTGTAAAGCTTCAAACTACTTTTTTTTAATAGTACAATTATCCTATTAAAAAAAGTAGAGCTAGGGTGTGCTGACTTATTCAACATTTTTTAAGGTTCTACCGTCAGTTTTGCCTAATTTTTTATGCTTCAGATTTTTCTAAAAAAAAGTAATACATCTGAATCAAAAGCTATTCAGCATTCAAGTCCATTAACTTCAGATATTTTAAGCAGCTATTTGAAGAAAATGTCAAGAACATCCATGCAGAAGTATAGAAAGCTGAACTTTGCTAATGAAAGCTAGAATTTCCTTTACACTATTCACTATAGTGTTTGCATCATCACAGATAAAGCAACAATTTCCCCCAGGTATAAATCATCAGAGTAAAATCATTTTATGAAAATTTCTTTCCCTGAATTTTGATTGATCCCAACAGTAACGTAATGATGAAATTAATGAAAATGATATTCAGACTTGACTCCTGTTGTAGTATGAAACAAGAATGTTGTACAATTTTATATAACTGATATTGTAATCTGAAATATGGTCAATAGCTAATGTAGATAGCACATTTTGCAACATGATCACAATTTTTTGTTGTTGAATTTACCATACATGTGACCTAGAGCATTTACTTTAATTCTTGTGCATGTAGTGTTTTTTGGCTGTGGTAGCAATGGAAAATATTGATCAAAACAAAGAATTGTCATCTGCAGTTGGAATACTTTATTGCACTGGAAGTGATGAGAATAAAAGCTCTGCTTATCACAGAATTCTTATAAATTTTATACAAAATAAGGGGATACTACTTTCAAAGTAGATTTTTTTTTTTAAATCCTGGTGTTTATTAGATTGCTCGTGCTGCCATAATGTTGTCACTATAAGTGATTGAATGCTCACTGAATGCAGCTCATGATTTTCTGAAAATTTGAAGCATGTAAATGGGGGTACTTTTCTTGTTGTTTTCATATGAATTCTAGTTTCAGGATAAACTAACAGTTTCCCATACCACATGATTACCAGAATTGCTTTTGATAATCAAAGATAATCATTTTGATAAGTAAGGAGAACTATTAGGTTGTCCTTAAATAAATAAACTATGATTATACATAAAGTATGCTCAGTAGATAACAATAGCTAACTGTATGATGCAAATTTTAAGATTCTTTGAGTCACTGATGGATTAGAATAACGAGAATTTCATTTTTATTATGGTTCTAAGAAACTGAGCTTTTTTGGTTTTTCTGATAGGAAAAATGTAAGTAATAAAAATAGCAGTACAATATGTTTATTTGTTTTGGGGGATAAAATAATGATATAAATATCAGGATGTGTAATGAATACTAAATGTTCTTGTTTATGTTCTTCTTTCAGTTATATTTTATTTTATAGTATGAAGATGAAAATATATTTTTATTGTGAAATGCATAACTAGGACAGGCTAAAATTAAGCTTGGACTATTATAATACCGTATTCTCAGTTGTATCTTATAATTTAAATTCCCTCCTTTCATTATTTTTTACGAGTCAGATGTATGATGGTCAGAAAGTAATAGTTATTTAAAGTGATTAAAAGAATGTAGCATTTATGCAAAACATGTCTAGGTATTTAGCATTCTAACACTATTCTGAAATTTGAGTTATAAGTGTATGACACAAAACATATTTTATTTTTCATTTAATCTAAAAGTCTGTCATAGTAGTCTCAAACAGTGGTCTCAGACTGGCAGCCGGTGGGCACATGTTGCTCCCAAATCAATTTTAGGCTGCCCACAAATATATTTTCTGTAACTTAATTAGCATTACTATGACTAGAATTTGAAGAAAACGTTTAAGACTTTAACCCTTTCAGGACGGGTGTCCCATATACGCATTTCCTAAAAACGTCTCTTACAGCCAGGCGTCCCATCCATGCATCGCTAGAGACTGCATTCAGAGGACGGGTGATGCGTATCGCATTTTAAGCTGGAACGTTTTTCTGAAGGCCACTAGATGGCATTCTATGTCCATTACTTTTGAAATGAACACAGTTTTAGGTTCCTGACCTTGAGTTTGATATATTCTGTCTGACTTTGGTATTTTACTCATCAACTGTTGCGAGGGTGGGGGGGAGCGAAAGCGTAAACAGAGGTGGGCTCTTTAATACGCCGCATGCTAATGTAAATGTTCGCGTGTCTGATTTATATCCAATTACTTTTTTAATTCTATTTTTTCCTATACTACATAGGGTCTTTCAGGGTTACTAGACAGCCAGTTTGCATTGACTTCAGATATATTCCCATTTTTTTTCTCTTTTTATTTCTGGAAGTCTCACCTCTTGTCTATTATGGGGCGAAGGGCGCTATTTATCGGAGGAAGAATACCCTCGTATGGTTAATAAACCATTTACTAACGCAGATGAGAGTGATGATTCTTTTTCTAAAGATTTAAAAAGTGATACTTTTTCTAAGAGTTAGAAAGTGATACTTCTCCGTGCTTCGAGATTTACCACACTCAGTCTTCATTTTAAATTTTGTTACTTCTTACTGTAAATAGGCTTTATTGTGTTTTTTTATTAATTTTAGATTGTATTGATGGATTTTATCAATTAAAACTTTGGAATAATTTGAATAGCGCTTCCGAAAATTACTTTACAAGATAAGGAAATTTTGAAGTATATTTTCATGTAGAATAAAGAAAAAAATGTTATTAAGTGCTAATTTTAACATATATAAGACCTCAAGTAATAATCTAAAATGAAACCAAAAATTACGAGGCTAGAAGTGAAACTTTTTTTTTTCTGATTTTTTTTTATAAAATTAGGCTTAGCGATGCAAAACCTCCATCCTGTACGGTAACTGCATTCGATTCCCTTTCGCACTGCACGAGCGTCTTAAACAAAGGTGCACCGTCGCGAAAAGGTTAATGGTTTTGAATCCAGTTTCACGTAATCTTCTGTGCTACAAACAAATGTGAGTAATGCTCCAGAAAATTTAGAAATGGAGCTCTGTAATTTATCCTGATATAAATCTTATTCAAGGATGTGAAGATATACAAATTTGATTAACATTTATTAGTAATAGTCAAAAGATAAATTAGTAATAGTCAAAAGATAAATATCTTCAGTTACTAATTGTGAAATAAGAATAATAGCTTTGTTTTCATGTGTATTTACATACATTTTTTACTGTATTTGGAAATTATTAAATTTGCATAAAGAAGCTCATTGACCTAGAAATTGGTATGAGTATCTACAAATTGGTGATAAAAATACTTTATAGTAATTTTCTTCCAAGGTTACAGACTCATTGAAAATCAAAATGTCACAAGGTGTTTGAAAAGTGTAGTAAGAAACAAAGAAGTTTATAATTATTTACATACAAATATGTATTTTTTCTGTATGCTTCATAGAAAAATGTAGTAAATAGAAGAGAATAGGTTTTCATTCTGAAGTTTTGTGTCTCTTGCGAAGTTTTCTTATATTTCTTTCTAGTTTAAATTAAAGTAAGCATTTAGGGTTACTTCATTGCATTACCATTGTTTGAATAAATATCAATCTGAAAATATTAATATTAAATTGTGAATATGATTGAATTACAAATTATGACCAATAAAACTCTTGCACGTACCAAATGTTAGATTTCTGGCATAAAATAAGTATAAATTAGGATTTTTTTCTTTGCATCATTTGTCACTTTTATATGTATGTATTGAAAAATTTCTAGTATTTTTTAAATTTAATTAACAAATTTTGTTTTGTTCAGAAAAAGTCTTTGAGGGTTTCTTCTTAGTTATTAGATTGTGCATTTGGCATGTGTGCAAATCTGAGTTTGAGACCATTGTGTTACAGTATATTAAGATGACAAGCAGTTATCTAAATACTTTGTTCAATTTAAATTAAGCTTTTAATTTGTATGAAATGAAAGTATTAGATGTCGAAATATTGTGGATTATTTTTTACATGTTGCTAATTTTTAATTTCAAAATTTATTAAATTAAAAAACATATTTTGTAAACAATCTAGAACACTGAAGTTGGGCATAAATTCCTAACACATTTTAAAAATCATTCTGAAAAAGGGTTATAAATGTCTCAAATTCGATAATACTTTCTTCCTGTTTTTAAATTTTAATCTCTATTTTGATTCTGTACAGAGACGTGTATGTGTATGTATAAATTTTGTGAATTCACATGTTGGAACTGTTAACTAACTTTTCTCCCTCCCCTTATGAGTAATGTAATTTAAAAATAATTAAATACTTCCATAATTAAGTACTTATTTTCATTCAATCCATTTAAATAAATGTAAAATTAACTGCTATTATAATTTATTATCATACTGTATATATGAAAATGTATATGTTAATTTTTCTGAAATTATACTTTCAGGATTTTTGAAAGTGCAGATAAGGATTAGATCAGTTTTTACCATATTCTTCCTTTCATAGATTAAAAATCAGGAATTATTTTTGTGGTATTATATTATTATTTTGTCATGTACTGCAAATTTTCATTTTATTAAATTTTGTATATCTGCATTTGTTTAGTATTTTCTTTGATTTTTATTAATTGCAAAATTAAATAGTTATTGTGCTTCAGTTAATTAATGTTCATAAGCTTAAAATTGTGCTTAGACTTTGGAAGTCTTGTATTTACTGATTTGTGTAAAATTTAGAAATTAAAAGTCACAAAGACATTTTTCATAGGAGTGGCTTATTTCTGAAGTAATGTAATAGATTACATTTTGTGACTAACCCAAATTTACCATTGTATTTATTTCATTAAAAAGCATTTATATTTATTAATTTGTAATTATTATTTTTGTAATGTATATAAGTTTACAGAATTTTTTATGCAGTGAAAAAAGTGTAGTATAGGATATCAGCATTCTATATACAACAGTTTGTATAAGTGTTGTAGCAGTTTTGAGCAATTCATTAAGATAATGGTAAAGATTGATTGTTAATCATATATGAAAATGACAGTTATGATTGATATCCAAATGGGAGAAGGGAAATATTATGTGGAAAAGTATTTTACTGTACTAAAAAAAGGTATTTTCTGTTTATGGTTATGGATTCAAAATGTCTTCTGCATTTTTATTATAATTTAAAAAAGTATTACATTTTTATCTTATTTTGTGGATAAAATATGTTTTTATTGTGATCCTTGGTTCAAAAATGTAACATCAAAGTTTATTAGAGGTAATAAAAATTGAAGGAGTTTATGAACTTGTATTGTATATACTTTTGTTCCAAACAGCTGTTTTTATAATATATTATGATTTTATTAATTGCAAAATTTTGTTCTTTATTATTCATAGCTTCAGTAAAATCATTCAGACGTAGCATATCCACATTTAACCCTCTAAGTGGCAAAAGGTTTTTGATCTGCTCATGAAAACCTGTATTAAAACCACATTTAATAGCTAAACATGTATAATTACTTATTTTAGTCTCTGTTTTCATAAACTTCTATTCATTAAGATGATATTTACATCATCAAAGAAAGTAAGAAAGCAAAATCTTTTAAACTAAATATACACCAAGAAACAAAAAATCTCATGACTGGATAAGTGGTCATGCTATCCAAGGGGTTAAAAGGCTTGAATGTTTTGACTGTAAGATGAATACAGTTGCTGTATATATTATTTCTTAGAAAGTAAAATATAAAATTCAGGAAAAGTGCTTTTGACACTCTTCTGCAATTATTCCAACCTATAAAATTACAGTTATAAAAAAATTCACATATATTTAAAATCTGGTTTGATGAATGGCAATAATAAAGTCAATTTTAAAATTGCTGTTCTGAAAATTTCAGCTAAAAGTAATAAGAATATTAATTATACTTAATCAGTTTTAGTTTAGAAATGCACTTTTTATTAAAGAAACAATTTTAAATATTTGCCAGTCAAAATTATACTGGTAAAAAATGTGTATGTGCACTGTAATTTTAATGACATTGAGTAGCTAATTTTATGTGCTCTAGTATGGGTTTAAAACATGTTTAACTATTATATTCCATTCATTTTATATTCTTATTCTCCTCCCCCCCCAGTTAAATAACAGTAGCCACATCAGAACAAAAACTAAATACATTTGAAGAATTTTCACATGCAAATTTTGTCAACTTAATAAGCATATGAACAATTCTGAAAATCAAGTAGAAAGAAATATTAATAAGGAAAATATATCAAAAACATTTTACTGATTTTAGAAGAGGTTTTCAGACTTTTTTGGTTCTTTTAAAATTGATTGATATGAAATTTTCATAAACTCATAAGGGAAAAAAAAAACTTATCCTGGTATTTCAGAGTTCTTGTTAATTTGTAGATGAACTGCATTCTTTGACTTGACAGTTTGCGTATACATTTGGAATACAAAAAAATTTTAAATTCTGTTCGTAGGGAAACATTTTATCATAGCATTCTTCATGAAAAATTACTTGTTTTATTCCAAATTGAAATAGTAAATTATTTTTTTAAGCTAGTCATATTTTTTGTATTTTTTTATTTATTTTTTATCACTAAAGCCTCTTGTGTTTAGGCTGTAATAATTTTAAGGGAAACTGAGCTTAATGTACATAAACCTGTAATTTTCATATTTAAGATCTTTCCAATGCAGAAAATTTGTCATTTGTTTTCAATACGTTGTCTTTGTTTAGGTGGAGGAATGCCTCTAATGCCTACCTCAGCTGCGAGTTGTGCATTTTCAAATGCACATTTGTATGAAAATGTTTATAAAAATGAAACCCATTCTAGAAAATTAGATTAAATATCTGTGAAATGTAATTTTGTGAAGTTTTCTGAATCAGCATTCACAGTATTTTAATGAGAATATTTTTTATTTTTATGAATTATTTTATGAAGTATTTATATATAATTCCATTAAATTTTATTATTTTTACAGCTGTTACAGCTAGTGTTCTAAATGTCATTAACTGTTAACTAGAACTTTTCTTCCATTTTTGAAAAGTAAATCCTTTATGCAGGTTTTAAAAAACAAAATCAGGTGTCTTGCTAAATAAACTTCACTCTTTAGAATGAACTCAGGGTGAAGTTTGGCTAGTAAATTTATTATACAAGGGGGTGATCAAATGAAAAGGTACGAAACGACACGGTGGGTACAAATGTAGACTTTATTCAAAATATACATCATAGGCCTGAGCACAACGATTCCACTGATGAAAAAGCCGCAAGCTTCTTTGTTCCCAGAATTCCTGTAGCCGTGACGAGACTCAGTCCTTCACAGCGTCCTTGAGTGCGTCGTTCGAGTTGAAGCGCTTCCTTTTCAGGTGTTTCCTCAGTGGACCAACCAAACATACGGAAATCGCAGGGCGACATGTCCGGACTGTAGGGCGGATGGTCCAACGTCTTTCACTTGAACGTGGCCAGTTCCATGTGTGTGAGTGTGGAGACGTGTGGACGCACGTTATCATGGAGCAGAACCACACCCTCCATGAGCAGCCCAGGTCTTTTGTTCTTGATGGACCTGCATAGGCATCGGAGTGTCTCACAGTCCACATTGGAGTTAATGGTTTTTCTGTGCTCGAGGAATTCCACAATTAGCGGACCTTTAATGTCGAAAAAGACAGTGAGCAACACCTTGCCTGCTGACGAAATGGTTTTGAACTTTTTAGGGGTAGGTGACGACGCATGCTTCCACTGCATGCTGTCCCACTTTGTCTCTGGCTCGTAGTGATGGTACCAAGTCTCACCATCTGTGACCATCCACTCCATGAAAGCGGGGTCTTCCTGATACCGAAACAGATATTGCAGTGCTAGCCCCATGCACAGTTCCTTTTGCTGGTTGGTGAGCTGCTTCGGAACCCAAGCGGAACACACCTTCCGATATGGCAACCTGTCGTGAACAATTGTCCACACGGTTCCATAGCTGACATCCACCTTCACAGCCAACATTCGCAATGTAACACGCCGATCACTTCTCACTAGGTCGTCCACCTTGTCGATGAGATCGCTCGTGATGACAGTGTTTGCCTGGCCTGGTCTCGGATCATCACCCACACTCTCACAGCTTGCACGAAAACGGGCACTCCATTTTCTGACAGACATGTCAGAGACACTTTTCTCCCCATAAACTGTCACCATCCGGCAATAAATAGCTGCCGGTTTCTCACCTTCCACTGTTAGAAATCGGATAGCATCTTGCTGTTCCTCAGTCGTCGAATTTTGCAACGCGAACGCCATCCTGTCCTCATACGGACAGCCGCATCATTTGGACGCCGCTTTTGATAAGAGCCTTTGCTCTCTCCTGCGCATGTGAACGCCCGCGCATGCTCCGATCCCAGTCAGAGACTCCAATCGCATCCCGAGATGTCTCGCTACGTTCTCCCATGGCGGAATATGCAAATATTTAATTGTTACGTATTTATGTCGTGTCGTACCTTTTCATTTGATCACCCCTTGTATCTGTATTGTATATGTTATGTAATCCAGCAAACTTTGCCTAGAATCCTTTTCCGAAGTTAATTAATAAAACAATAAAAAAAGTTGAAGGCAGATTTCTTTTTAATTTTAAATTTATGTTAAAAGTATCAATATTGTTCAGTTGTAATAAACTTTGTTCAATTTTGCTGTGATTCTTTCGTTATGATTTCATTTTAGTAATATTTCGTTTTTAAGTTTTTACATTAAAGGATTAACTATTGAAACTGAAATTAACAGTCAAAATTATATAACCACTTTCCTGTCTGTGCGGGCCCACCAGCGGCCGAGTGGTAAAGTCGCTGAACACTGGTAGTTCGGTCCGAGGTTCGAATCCCGCGAACGGGTGTTTTCGTGGTTTTCCCCATGTGTAACATGTATACGAGCCAGTTTCCCTTAGAAAGTCCTCCACGAAAGGCATCCCTCCCCTTTTGGCAGATAGCCCTAGTGTGCTTTGCCGTAATTAAATACACCACCACCACCACCTCCTGTCTGTGCACTTTTGTTTTGGGAGGGGGAGAAGAGGGTTATGTTGTGTCAAATTTATATCTTATTGCAGTAATATATCATAAGAGATAAGTTTTAAATAGTATAACAATATTAAACATAGTCACATTAACGTGCTTGTTTAATATTAAATATCACTCAAATCTTTTATTCTTGAGTGCTTTCTCGTAAGAGAGTGTCCATCTTTTTCATGAAGTTAAACTATTCACTGTAGAATAGTCATATTTACCAAAATAAAATGAATTCCATTAAGATTTTTCTGACAATCTAGGAACTGCTTTTATTTTCTGCTTTGTTTTAAATTAACAGACTGTTAATTTAAATTTAGCTAAAAAAGCTGAATATTTCTGTTTGTTTTTAAATATCTTTTGAGAAAGGAGCCCTGCATTAAGTTATGAAAAGTAAAATAATAAACATTTTTATAAATCAACCGAATGAATTGAAATAGTAAATGCAAGCAAGATTGTTTTTTTGAAAAAGTTTTAAGAAAGAACTGTATTTGTCTGATTTAAAATTGCAGCTAGCTAACTGCATAATGCAACCTCCATTACCACTACCTACACATGTACCCAAAGGAGGGAATAGAGGGAGGAACTTTTATAGTTGAATTTGCTCATCAAAATTATTTATGGTATGACAGTATTATATATTATTAAATTAGAAAAATTTTAAGTAAATTTATGTATGGAATTTAAGATGCATATTATTTATATTGTTCTTTTAAAGTACCTTATGTTTTTGTTTGTAACAAACAGTTGATGCTTTAGTAAATCTGTCATCAGATTTTTTTTCCATCTTTTATTATTTTATGTACTTTCAAATTTTTTTAAAGTCTAACTTGTATTTTACCCACATAATTTTCCTTTATAAATCAGTGGTCTCAAACTGGTGGCACTTGAAGGTATTTTATGTGGCCCACAAATACATTTAAGTTATGTAAACATCCCACCAGTACATTTCAGTTGTTTAAATATAGTGCTTATAGATTTTGTTATAGCATAAATTCATTGCATAGCGAATTACAATATAGTGTTTATTAAGAAAATAAAAAAAAAAAAGTGGTAGCAAACATTTCAGCGGTCATTACATCCTAATTGAGTTCAAAGCTTACGCCGGCACCCAGCCAAAAGTGCATATGTAACACATATAATAGCACTTCATTATAAAAGCTATGAGTAAAAAGGGCATTAGTCATCCCATCTCAAAAAATAATTAAAAATTTAAATATGAACATTAGAGACCTATGGATTGTGTTTATACGTACGAATGCTGTTGAATAAAAAAATTTAAAAAATAGATTTACGGCATTAGTTAATTGATAAAATTATGGACTGATTAATTAATTGATTGAAAAAATTATGGACTTTGTAGGCTCACAAGGCAGGGGGCATGACTGGGCTAAGGTGGGATGTCCATACAATCAATAAATTTATTCACCAGAGGACAGTTTGCAGAACTTTCATATCCTGGTGTGTTGGTTTCTTTTTTCTAATGAGTTGATCCATTTATTTTCTTTCAGTAAGTATTTTCATAATTTTATGTTTATATTAAAAGTAAGTTAATTAATTCAACATATTAGAATTATTTGAAATAAGTATCAGATAAATATTATGTATAATATTATAATCATAAAAAATTTAATAGTTAGCTGCTAGTAGAAATTATCCTATTAGCTAATTATAAAATGTAGCCAATAAAAATTTGTTACAGGTAGAAAATAAGCACAATAAATTTGAATTTTTCCTTTGCTTTATTATTGTTCATGTATATTTTAATAAATATTTAGTAACAGAAATTTAAGTTAAAATGTAGTTATTTCTTTCAAATTTTGTTAAAAGAAAAAATCTTACTCGCCAACTGCCTTCAGTTCGTGCATCCAGTTTGAGTTTGAGACTATTGGTATAAATTATACTTTACTTTTTATCTGTAACAATTTCTAAACTGCTTTATGCATATTTCATCTTATGCCATATTTATCAGTCATGCTTTATTACGGTGATTTTTGTACTTGCATTTAAAGAAAATTTGATGTTTATGTACATTCATTTTGTGGTGATGTGAAGTATTTTTTAGTTTATCAGTGTTCTACAGAACTGCTACCAAATTTGGTTGAATTTTGTTGTCAGTTTTGCATTAAAAATTACTTCATTTTTAAAACTTATGTGTTTTATTTAAGATTTAAAGTTTGAGGAATTCTAACAAGGAGATAGTAAACTGTCAGAGTTTCAATGAAATGTTTTATTAGTAGCTTAGAAATAAAATGTAATTATCAATAGTTAATGTTAGGCGTTTTCAGCCTTAAACATTTGGTTTCAAAGGCAAAAAAGTAACAACAAAAATTGTGCATTCTCTTTTACTTGCAGATAAACACAGCAAAAAAAATTATACAGAGCTCAGAAATGGCTTTATTTTTTGTGCTGCTCAGAACTACAGTGGGCGTTCATTAATTTGAACTCTTAGGTTCTCAGAAAAGAATTTGAATTATCTGATGTTAAACTATAACTTTAAAAGGTGTATCGAAGAAGAAAAATCCAGTATGTGTAATCCTAGGAAATATATTGTGCTATCTAAAATTAAATATATTAAAAAGCAATAAAGACTTACCTTAATCATATAATGAAGAAGAAAATATGCAGTAGAAAGTAAACTTTAATTAAAAATATGAATTACGCTTTTGGGAAAAACTGTAAAATGGATGTTTGGTTTTGTTTATTATGCCTAGGTTTTTTAGCCAGCTTCTCGATTTGAAGTAAACATTTCAATTCGTCTTCAGAGGAAGGTTTAATCTGAATGATGAAAGCAGTTACTAACTGTGCTTTCTTTAACAGCATCCCATGCAGTGCATAGATCATTAATAGCTGTCAGCTGAGTAATGTAGCACCACAATCTAAAGAAAAAAAAGTATTTGTTGTGTAAGAGTCTCTTACGATAATTTAAAATTCTGGGTGATTCCTTGATCCATTGGTTGTAGCTTTGCAGTTATATTTGGCGGCAAATATTCACCTTGTATGGAAAAGTTATTGTGGCAGGTTGTGTAACCCACAAATAACAGAATTTTATGTTTTTCCCTCAAAAACTACTTATCTGTTCCTTTTGACCAGTTACTGAAGATGTCTTATGTCATCTACGCTTTTGTTGTTGGATATATAATCAGCTGGCATTGTTAAAATTGCTTTAAAACACAGGACTTTTCAATTGATTCTTGGACTTTTCAATCGCTAATAATTTCTGCTTTTCTCTCCCATCTATATTAGCACAAACTGAAGCTGTAATCCTCTGTTTACTACTTTTACCACCTATGTAAGCATCCTTTTTAAAATGTAATCTTTTGTTTGGCAAGAGTTAATAAAAAGACTGCAGTTTTGTCCATATTAAAAATATCTTTGGGCAGATAAGGAGAAAAAGGCCCTTGCAGTTTCCTGCTGAAATTAGTGCATATGTATTCATTTACATCAGAGCTTTGGCCACGTATAGTTTGATAAGAAATATTGTGCCTTGACTTAAATCTAGAAACCTATTCATCATTGTATTTAAAATATTCGATATTAGGGCAACGTTCACCAGCAAACATCTTGGGCGTGTTTTGATGAGCTCTTAAAATTATGCTCGTTTTTCAGTAAAAATTATATATTTTGTGCTACAAATGACTATTTTATTGTGTTTATGTGTTGTGCTACTTGAAGACTACTTTTTTTTTTGTTTGTACGGCTTTTCTTCGATTATCTGATGTTTACTTTTTTTTTTGTTTGTACGGCTTTTCTTCGATTATCTGATGTTTACTTTTTTTTTGTTTATACGGCTTTTCTTCGATTATCTGATGTTTCGACTCGCCTCTGCTACGTAGGCCTAATGATACTGTTTATTTTCTATCAATACTTTGTACATATCTGTTTTGGATGTATTTTACTGTGCAAAGTATGTAAGTTCTGTTTTATTTCCTATTCTGTGCACTGGAAGTGATTTTCGGC